GAAATTGAAATTTAGGTACTGAACAGAGGAGGGAGAGAATACTGGACAGTACAGACACTTCTGTTATGATTTGGGTCAGGTCCATTTCAAAAGCTTGAAGTTTGCCTGCTTTTTAATTCCCACCAGTGTTTTGTTTTTAAAAATTCCTGAAATGAAACATGCCCATTCGTCATAATCTTGACTGTACATCTTGATTGTATCTTCATGTGAACATTCTTCTTTTCTTTTTTTTCTATGAAATGTAATAATCGTGAGCTAGCAAGTATTTCTGCAGGGAAATAGCAATCAGAAACCAAAAAGCTCATCCAGTGAGTAGGGCATATTTTAAAGTATTCATTTACTAAGGTTAATGAAGCATGTTGTCATTTTCTTATGCAGTCAATTAAATACTGGGTGAGTTTGAAAGCAAAAGATAAGCACTGCAAAAATTACTTATCATCTTGTTCCTTATATTTTCTATTAAGGATCCACTGCCATGCAAGCCTGTGTCACAAAATGTACCTTCAGCTGAATATAATTTATACAACACTTGTAAAGGTAGAATATTGTAGAGTTTAGTTGCAAAAACTTATTGCTCAAACATGTATATCAAAATAGAGATCTAATGAAAACAATTTGCTCTTTTGCAGTTTTTTTGTCTTGGTTTCTTTATCATTTTTGGTTCACTTATGCCGTAAAATTAAAACCAATTTAGATTTCAGAAACAGATAAGCTGAGTAAATACAAAATGCACATCTTGAATTATAAATTCATGTAGCATGGAATAAAAGTTCTCCAACCAACCAATATAGAAGCAGTACTCCTCTCATGTAAAGCGCTTTGCTTTGTCTTTTAGCTGAAATCTGCTGTGCAAATAAATCTCCCTCGCCTTGCCCTCTCAAACTGATTAAGTGGTCGTGCCACACTTGGCAGTAGCAGCTGCCATCATCATTTGTGCTAACTAGCTATTACAGTTTTACACCACGGTGAATGAATTTAGGCCGACTCTCCTTTCCGTCACATTGAAGTTTCTTGTTTTGATTTTCTTGGCATAAACTGACTATTTCAAGTCATAATGTATAATCATGATCAGGTTTAAACCGGACTTGAAGAGACTGAAAGCGTATCTGGCTGCTGTGCTTTGGAGGATTTCACTTGTGCATAAGTTCACAACTTTAAAACTAGATATTCTCCCCCTAGATTTTCCGCCAGAAAGCAGAATTCAGGTTTCAGATCCTGAGGAAGCAATGGATTTTTTTCTATATTATTATGTAGGTCAAGCTGCTCAGTGGAGCGGTGGGTAGCACTGCTGCCTTGCAGCAAGAAGGTTGCAGGTTCAATTCTGGCCCTGGGGTCTTTCTGAATGGAGTTTGCATGTTCTCCCTGACCATGTGTGGGTTCTCTCCAGGTACTCCAGTTTCCTCCCACAGTCCAAAAACATGACTGTTAGGTAAAATGGCTTTTCTAAATTCTCCTTAGGTGTGAGTGTGTGCATGAATTGTTGTTTATCTCTGTGTTGCCCTGCAATGGACTGGTGACCTTTCCAGGGTGTACCCTGCCTCTTGCCCGTAGACAGCTGGAGATAGGCACCCCTTGTGACCGTGCTTGGGATAAGCATAACAGAAGATGGATGGATATGTAGGTCAATTAGTAAAAAGCTTTGAGTGTTGTCGGTGGTGCTTTTTGTCTGATACTACAATTTCTTGATGATGTGCAACATTTTATAGTAACAAAACAGCAAAACCAGCAGAACAAGGCTGCATGCCATGTAGTGAAAGTAAATGAATGCCAGTAATTCCACCATCCAGTGAACAGAGAATGATATTGTTTTAAATTCAAGCTTCCAATTCAAGTGTTAATTGGCTGAATATCATTATCCCTGACAACCAGCCATCAACTGCAACGTTCATCAACAGCACTCTCACTCACACACATACATACGTACAAGTGTTTTAGCACAATCGCAGCCATGCAAAGACATATGCTAAGAACAAATATCAAGCAGGCGAAATGTTTCACAGTTTTCCTTGTCCATAGTCCAACGCTAAAACTGTGACAATGTATTCAGCAAACAGTGTCCCTGAGCAAGAAAAAAAAGAATAAATTAAGAGCAGTGCTTTTGAATGTGTACTTCTTTTTTATATTAAATAAGTAGGGAAATTTCAGCCTACGAGTGAGAGTGTGGGTGTGAAAGACACAAAAAGGAGCGAAATGGAGGCAGAGAAAGAGGGAAAGCAAGGAGGAGACAAAAGAGCAGAATCAGGGAGGGAATATTTGGTATTTAAAGTAAGATGACACATGGGGCTGTTACCGCCACAAATCAGCGGGATCTCCTGAGATGGGTTTTGACTTTGCGCTACTACAGTCTCGTGTGAAACACAGTCACATTGAAAGCTTCAGCACACAGTCCCCCAGAACAAACCCTCATTTGGTTGGGAACACATGCGAAGGCTTTCTCCCGAGGTGAGAGGAAGGCAAACAGTGCTCAGCGTTGCATTTCAGGGCGATTGGGAAGATGGTTCTCTACAGCAAATGCACACTTGAGTGAAATATGTTTGAGCAAGAGAGAGAAAAACAGAGAAGTCTAATTTTAACTCCAGTATAATAATTGTATCATGGGAGATGTAGCGTGATTGTTCTTAAAGTATGAATGAGCAGGCAACTGTTGTGTGTGTGCTGATTTACAGATTTAAAATTCATAGAAAATACCAAACCATCTACTACATATTTGCTTATTTTTTGTGTATACATAAAACATGACGGGTCAGATCTTATTGTTTAAAAATCCCATCTGAATTCCATCTATTGAGGCGTTCCCGACTGGTTAGCCTGTAAAGAAAGCTTTGGTTTTATGGCATTTTCTCACTGTAAAGGCTTCCATTTTGTTAGCCTGTAGCATAATTGGAATACATGAAGAAAACACGTTTTTAAGCAACATATACAGTATTTTATCAATGCTTTGACAATACGTTCAACCAGATGTATGAACATGTTTGCAGAAAAAGAAACAAGATAGTAAACATAACATAACCACAGTAATTTCTATACCAGTCGTTTCCTGACCTGCAGCAGAAGAAACTTAAGTGCTGCTGTTTTTACCATAATTAATCATGGTAAATGATTAATTTGTGCAAAAATCTCATAAAACACAAAAAGAAAATGTATCTAAAGTATTTTTCACAGTCTGTGTTCATTTAATTAGTTGCTAAAGAGCACTTCTCCTTTTCCAAGTAAAAATATCCACCTTATATGTGTAGCTATGGGTTTAGTGCCTCTAAAAACTTGTACTGGCCCCTGTTATGACCCCTCAACTGAAAACATAATACCATATCAGATTTGTTTGATTATACATGTATGTGTTTGCACAGAAACTATAACTGATTGCTACTTTGGACAAAGGTATTTTTTTTTTATGACATGTTTACTGTAAAGGTGATTTGAAAATGTGGGCGTTGCACCTTTAGCTTTAGCCGTATGAAGACAGGATCAAAAACTTCATCTGTTAAGTAAGTCTCCAGAACTATGAGTTTTTTTTAGATCTCTTGATATAAATGATTTTTTTTTTCATTGAATTCTTTTTCTCTGGTTAAATTGGTCCGGAACCACCACTGGGTGTGGCACATCACAATGCTGATTAGAGACCATTATTATTTTAGGGGTTGCCTTAGCCAAAGGCAAATGTAACTTTGAGGGAGTGTGCAACAGGCGTGCTGATTGTAGAAATGCACAGCAAAGCTTTCGCCCATGAATTGAATGTTCATATTTCTACCATAAGCCAAGGTGTTTTAGGTGAGACTCTGGCAATATGGTCAACCTCTCCATTGCAAACCATGTGTAACCATCCATCCATTTTGCTTCTCCCTAGGCGTATATGACAGCGAATTCCTGCTATGCCAATATCTAGTAACTTTGCACAGCCAGTGCATCCAAGCTTAATCTGTTTCACAAATGCCAAGGCATCTATCTATCTATCTATCTATCTATCTATCTATCTATCTATCTATCTATCTATCTATCTATCTATCTATCTATCTATCTATCTAATAATATTAATTTAGATGTTGAATATGGCCCCAAAATTAACGAGACTTCATCCTGTTTATTAAAGATTCAGACAGAAATCATCTACAGAAATTAAGCTGTAACCCCAAACACATTCTAGTCCATATTTAACCTTATAGAGGTGTGCTGCTTCGCCACAGTATCTTTTTTCTTTTTTTTTTACTGGTTTAGTTAATTCCACCTGTTAACCCCTCTTTGTTTCCTGTCGGCTCTTCTAAGCGTGAATTTGTGTTAAACATAATCAACAATTATTTGACTCACTGCCTTAACCCAATTGTTGTAATAAAATTATCTTGTGAATTTATCTATGAGGCTGTGACATCACAGTCAGTGAAACACGCAAAGCTGCCTGGATGTATAATCATATGATTTCCCTTCTTTTGGCTGCAGTTGCTACATTTACATTCATGAGGTGCTTTGCATGGACCAGATGTTTACTGGTCCATGCAAGACGTTTACTGTTCAATAGGTACATTTTATTGTTCCATAGACAATTATGAAATAATAGGATACGAAATAACTATATGAGCAATTCTCAAAAGGGAACTGAATATTTGATGAAATATCAACCAAATCTCACCATGCTTTTCTGTCTCTCGTCTAATACATCCTAACAACATGGTGCTCCTACCATGGGACCCCTCTCTGGTTGGCTGGCTGTGTGGCCCCCTTAGTTGCTGAGCATCCCGGGGCTTTGTGCTTTGTGTGGTGGGAGGTTGGGGTGGGGGATGGTGTGAGATGGGGTTAATGGGCGACCTGTCTTCCTTGTGTCATCCTCATATCTTGGGCGGGTGAGTCTGTGGGCTCCCACACCCTCTATTAAACATTCTTACGGAGAAACCTTGTGACCATAAACACACTCATTCAGTTTCAGGTGTTTGCCAGACACACTCTCAGTTGGTTTGCAGTTTTCACTAAACACTGCTGGTAGNTGTCTGCGTAGGCCGCCATTTTAAACTTCAACTACAACTCTGCTGGTCACGCGCTGCAGATGACTTCATTTCTGTTTCTATAGGAACCGAGGAACAAGTAATATCGTCAGGTAACATTTACACTAATTACCCAAAGGTGTAAGTATGTGGAAAAACTGCTTTCCTTTTAACTTTATGGAGCCGTGAATTTTTTTATTTTTATTTTAAGGGATAAGCTGTGTGTCTTGGAAGAGATAGCTAGTTTGCTTAGCATCAACCAATAAAAAGTTGAAAACCTTGAACTCTTGAAAAAGAGTTTTGCCATCATATTTGAAGCGGTTAAATTCATGAATATTTGACATCTTAATAGGTTTATCCTCGTGTTAAACGCAGCTTGTTTTTGTTAGCTAACCGAAGTTTATTTAAGCTAGCAGGACACATGCCTTAGGTCCAGTTAATCATAAACACAAGCTAGCAAGGTGCCATACTGGAAAGGCTACAGTTAACAAAAATTTTATTTCCTGTGGTTTTTTATGAACATCTCTCCCGTTTTGTTTAAGTTAACTGTCACAGGATTGGTAATTTTAGGATACAATTTTAATTTAAATGAGCTAGTTTCATTCAGTTGAGCTAGGATAAAACTAGTTCAAACTCTTTGAACTAGTTTGGGAAATTGTTTTTTTCAGGCTTTATGGGAAAATACATTTTAAAAACATGTTTTCCTCTTTTTTATCTACATTGTGCTTTCCTATCTTGCCTGTGTTGGTGAAGATTCTCAGTCATCCAGCTCATTGTCCTTCAAAAAAACAGTAAAAAAAAATCATATCTTATGCTGCTTCCATGTGTGCTGTTATTTTTTTCTGATCTATGTTTATGTCTGTTCCTTATATGCTGTTTACCAAAAATCTTAAATTCAAGTCACTGGCACCTATTAAAACCCTTTGATTGGTCTATTTGAATCCTTATTTTCAGAGATACTGAATTTAAGGTTTTCTTAAACTAGAAGGTATTTTATTCACAATTACAAGAAGTAAAATATTTTTTTTATCTCTGTGAATTATTCTTTGAAGAATATTGAATTTTTAAACAATATTAAAATTTTTATGCACTTGTGCTATGTGGGCTGTCACTGAAGTGCTTCTAAATGTGCTTGTACCTGTTTTTGTAGGTGTAGACACATGTCAACATTTTGAATGGGTTCAAAGGTCAAAACAGATTATTTTAGTTAGGGCAGCTAAACTTTACGTTTTAAATTGCTCAGAATTATTAAACTTCTGTGATGAATAGTCATACATTTTACTTTAAAACACATCTGATGTTCTAACAGAACATTGAAAAAATATTTGGCCCCAAACCTGGCTAATTTCCGGCTAATATATTTTATGAAATAAGTCATTTTTAAATATATATAATAATATTTGAATAATAATAAGATAACTTTATTGATCTTACACTGGAGAAATTTCTGCTTATATTCTAATTTATGATTAAATAAAACCAGCAAGTATCACTGTTTAATTTATGAAATAACAGTAAAATTGTACAAGTTAATTTTGATAAATTATGTTAAAAGCGTTTGGTGAAATAAATGCTGTTTGAAAGGTTCAATAGACAGTAATTTGTAAGTAAATTACTAAAACCAGCAAGTATCAGGCTGTTTGGTTTTTTTTGTTGTTGTTTTTTTGTGGACAAGGATTTTTGAAAATCCAGCTTCCTATAGCAGATAAATTGTTATTAACCCTTCCTTGTAGACATTCACAACTGCATCATTGAAACTAGGTTGACCCTCACAGAAACCAACACAATAAGTAAAAATAAAATGCAAAATAATGATCTTTTTATGAAGATATTTCAAAACGGACAATAATAGTTTTCTCTACAATAATAATTTCAAAATGTAAATAAATGAAGTTTTTCAGCACTGATGATAGATGATAAGTCTTTAAATTTCTCCACTTTTGTGTGTGTTTGATTTCAGGCTTTTAAAAGTGCAACCTGAACAGTTATTCCTTGTTCTGCAGGTTCAGGGAGCCATGACCTTCAGGTCTCTGAAAACTGACCTTAACCCAGATTTGCATCATCATCCGGAAGTCGACCTGTCAGGGAAGGCAGCGTATTATGAGAGCATGATTGGACTGAGGTAAACAATTAAGAATATGTTGTTTTCAGCATTTCCTCTGGTAAAGATTTTTACTGTGGGTAAGGAAAGGATTCAGACCCCTTTACATTTTTCTTACGTTTAATTGCGGCCATTTGCTAAAATCAATAAAGTTAATTTTATTTCTCATTAATATACATTCAGTACCTCATCTTGACAGAAAATAACCCACGAAATGTAGACATTTTTGCAAATTTATTAATAAAGAAAAACATTTCAGCTAGTACAGCCATGACTCTTCTTTGGAATGATGTAGAAAGTTTTCCCACCTGGATTTGGGGATCCATTGCCATTCTTCCTTGCAGATCCTCTGCAGTTCTGTCAGGTTGGATAGTAAGCATTGGTGGACAGTTATTTTCAGGTCTCTCCAGAAATGCTCAATTGGGTTTAGGTCAGGGTTCTGGCTAGGCCAGTCAAGAATAGTCACAGAGTTGTTCCCAAGCCACTCCTTTGTTATTTTAGCTGTGATTAGTCTGGGAGTCCTTCATGTGTTTTTTGGAAAACTCTGTGCGGGTTTTCATATGTCTTACAGTGAGGAGAGGCTAAAGCCCCGACTGGTGATAGTTGACTTTGTGGAACTTACTTCCATCTCCGTACTGCATCTCTGGAGCTCAGTCACAGTGATCTTTGGGTTCTTCTTTACCTCTATCACCAAGGCTCTTCTCCCACGATTGCTCAGTTTCTCTGAATGGCCAGGTCTAGGAAGAGTTCTGGTTGTCTCGACCTTCTTCCATTTAAGTAGTGGTGTTATGAGTTGAGATGAGGCTAGTGGAGTCTATTTGGTTAAAACAATTTTGGTTAGATGAAACTATAATTATCAAAATCTGCGCAACCTACTGGTTCCAGTTGTAACATGAGTATGAACTAGTATTGCTTTCTAGGGTGCATTTATCATTGCTAGTGGCGTCAGCTGTAAGACTTGGGCTGTGTTCGGATGTATGCGTCTTCCAAGGAGCCAGTCTACCTAGACTGGATCCTTCAAAGTCCTTGAAAATAAAGAGACAGGAAGAGTTTTGGCTGTGAATTCAAACAGGTCTATCCTTCCAGGGCTTTCTCTGCCATAAGCTTTGTCGCTTAGCAACCGTGCCAGTTGACCCAGAAAGCAGGAAAAGAATGAATACTGAACTTTTCAAAACTTTTTCTTTAGAGTGAGATTCCAGAGTGGAATAAAGGTGAAAACCACTGGGTGCAGGAACAAATAAAAGCAAATGTAATGATATAAACCTTAGTCAGTTAAATTAACATGCTGCTGTCATTCTGCACATCTCTGATGTTGATGCTATTTTCAAATATCCATTACTGTAAAAATGTCCATAGCTTTGTAATGGTTATTTATTGCCCAGGTGCACAGTTTTATATTGTTAAAACACTTTACAGTACATGATTTTATTGTTTATCTTTTAACTCTTCACTATTGTGATTCTTAAACATTTTTCTAAAGTCCGCATTTGTGTAACCATTTTTTTCATTATTCCTTTTGCTGCCTTAAATACCAGAATTTCCCCATTGTGGGACAATAAAGGGATTTGCTATTCTGTTCTATAAAACGGGTAGAAAGATAAGTAAATCTAAGCAGTAAAAAATATATATGCAAAATGTCTTATATTCAACAAAGAAAAAACACTTAGTTAAGCAAATTGGGAAAAATAGCAATTAAAAAATAAAAATCCTATCACATTTATAGTCTGCAGATATATTAGAATCTGTCCTTAAATTACAGCCAAACCCATTTACACAGTAACAGATAAAAACCTTTAGATAAATCAAACATTACCCGCCACATATCTGACTCAATAACCAGTAAAACAACAATTTTAATTTATTTTAGACCGAACTATTCACATACTTGTATTATATTAAACTGAACGTCCAATATTCATCACTGTTTGGCGCCAAGTACCATTTCCTCTGATCAAGGAGCAGCCGGCTTGCTTAGTCTTGCAATGAATCCAGGGATACCAAAGGATAGAGAGGATACATTGGACCAGATCGGACAAAAAGAAGGACACATTTGTAGGCCACATAATGAGTAGTCTTGTAATCCGACCAGACCTCAGTGGCACACTTTTCATGTAATCGTAATCGAGTATCCTCAGATGAAGAGTTTGAATCTGGCCCTCCGTGGACACATCCCATAAATTCGAATGGAATTTATTAATATCCTGAGGTTGTTGGTTTGAGACCCACTTTAGACTTTTGAAAGTTGCTATAATACTTAACAAGCCAATGTGACTAATTTGTATTGGTTTGCCCTTTTACAAATATAGATTGGGTAAAAACACTGCCAAATTAGAATGATTGGTTTAGCCAAAAGATTAGTCAAACGCATAACTTCCATAAATTGTCTGTTTTTACTGTTTTTACTATTTCCTATGTCTCTTCTTTTTTTTTTTCATTGGGGAAGAAACCTAACCAAAGTGCATTTCCATTCTCTACTGCAGCTGATTGAAGGAGCATTGAAGAAACAATCTGTGTTTGTGGATTATTTAGTTCTTGTGTGATATTGTGGAAGATTTATTCTTGTTTTTCTCTTTCATTAGAGAAAATATTAAACATTTGTTTTCACTTCTTGTTGGGCTTTAGAGATGGTGCACTTGCTGCTGCAGACTCTGACCACACACAGGAAGCTTTACTCTGTGGAGTTGGTGACGGATCAAAGAGGACATCATCCATCCCTATTGGAAAAGACGTATTTGATTCTGATGAGGAGGTAAAATCATTCATAAACCCCCCCCCCCCTTTAACTTTGCTCAAATGTTCGAAATTTGCTGATCTGGTCATCACCAGGCCACCATCTTGAATTCCCCTTCTAGTTTTGCTTAATCTCGAGCGAAGCTCACATCTCGTGAATCTCGAGAGTTGCATCCTCTTGATCATATTTCACTGTGAGGCAGCGCTGTTATTGGTGGAATAACCAATTTCCCTATGGACAAATTAATTTGCAGGAAGAAGCATGCTGCCCTGTTTGCAAACAGGTACGCTTGAAACTTTGAAAAGTTTATGAAAACTTATCAAATGCTTGATGACTATAGGATTAATTTGTAGAGGTTTTTTTTGGTCTTTGGGACAATACTGTCTGTGGAATGAGAGAAAAACAACAGCTTTAACAATCGAGTTTCACCTTTAGCAGTAAGTTTAAGTAATGCTAATGATATTAGTCTCTTCTGAATATCATATAGAGCACGGAATAGCGGACCGCGGTCCGGATCCGGACCCACCTGTTGGCTAATCCGGATTCAATCTGATTTAAAACATCTATAAATTACCGCATTTTGTCCGACGACAGTGTCTAACTTCACTTGCGCCTCTTCTCCTGGTAATAATTGTAAAGCCATCCAGAGCGAACGGGACCAAGATGCATGTGATACAAATTAGCCAGTGAGCTGTCCGTCTGGTTCACTGCGGCGAGTCACTTTTAGACACAGCAGTCAAACCTGTGGCAAGCTGGGCGATGGGAAAGAAGGAGAAGATGATGAGGAAAAAGAGAGCAGAGAAAGTGTGGACTGCTGGAAAAACCGCAGTGAACTGGTGAAAGAAAAGTAAAATGATGTGCTCAAAGATGACCCTGCATATTTTGAGTATGTTTGGCTCAACCTACAGCTGTGAAGCAGGATTCTCCACCATGAACATAATAAAAAATAAATATCAATCCAGGATCATGAATGAGCATCTTGAGATGTGCTTGAGAATGGCTTTGTCTCCATTCAACCACAGGTTTAAAAGCCTTCCAGGGCAGCCTAAATCCCACTGCTCTCATTAAAGCTACAAAAAAAACAACAACCGGTCAGTTCGGATGTTTTATAAAATATGTGAATTAGGAAATTGTCTATATACCAAACTGAACGATTGTTGTTGTCTACTTAAAAAAACACTTTAGATTTTAAAATGGAAAAATTTTCTTACCCCTCATCTAGAGGCTTGAAATGTATCCTAATTCACCTTCATTTTCAGCTTTTAAATTTTACAATACATATGCTTTTTCTTACACATGTGCTTCAAGAATAATCTATACTAGAGAGAGAGGTTCAATACAGGTTGATGCACATAATTATGAAATTTGGTTATGAAATTTTATATGGACTTTTGTTACAGGATAAAGACTTTGATGAAGCAGCTGTCCATCCACCCCGTGGTTTGTCACACAGTGGAAAAGTATCCTCAGATGAAGAGTTTGAAGTGGACCAAATGAAGAGCATCAAAGATACAGATGAAAGGATGGAGACTGAAGGTGCAGTGCTGTCTGTGTAGAAGCGAACTAACCAACCAGAGGTGTCGGTCTGACCTGTTGAGGGTTATTCAGCAGAAAGATGCTGCTTCTCTGGAGTTCTGCTGCCCTTGGTCTCTTTGTCGTAAAGAGCAGTGAATAAACCCTTTCCTTTCAGCTGCAGCACTGCCACCAAACCTTAAATCTGACCCCACTTGATGATTTTTTGGTTTCATACAGTAGTTTGTCCTTTTTTATCATAATTTTTCATAAGTGTCTTTATATTTTTCAGTATTTTTCTATTTAAATTGTACTAGCTGCTGCACATTTTTACCTGCACAATCAAACAGTGGAACAATTTTCATGTCTTATAATTTTAATCAATATTTCTTTCAGTTTGGGGAATTGAGTGGGATAAGAATCAAATTGCAGCTTTAAGCAGCAACAAGTTTGACGTCCTCCTGAAGATGTGGCCACAGTTTCATGAGTGTAAAAGCCACCTGGCAACATTTGTCTTGATAAGAGGTGAGCTTCCTGTAAACCATGCTTTCGAACTGTAAAGGTTTAAAAAATTACATTTTTTTTTTCAATCATTTTTTTTGCCACTTTTCAGGCTTCAAACAGAAAGAATTAAAATTATATTTCTTTGTGGAGAATTAACGACAAGTGGGACACAATCATGAAGTTGAAAGAAATTTATTGGACATTTAAAACATTTTTAACATTTAACTGGAAAAACTGTGTGTGCAAAATGATTCATTTCCTTTAAGTTCATACTTTGTAGCACCACATTGTGCTGCGATTAGAGTTGCAAGTCGCTTGGACTGTCTCTATCAATTTTATACATCGAGAAACTGAAATTATTGCCCATTTTACTTACAAAACAGCTCGAGTTCAATGAGGTTAGATGGAGAGCATTTGTTAAGAGCAATTTTCAGCTGCCCCAGATTCTCCATTAGCCATTCTAACATCTGGATATGTTTGTTAATCATTCTATTGTAGATTATGCTTTATGTTCTGGATCACTGTCTGGTTTGAAGATAAACTCCGTCCCAGTCTCAGGTCTTTTGCAGACTCGACCGGGTTTTCTCCCAGAATGGTCCAGTTTTTGGCTCCATCCGTCTTCCCATCAATAATAATCATATTCCCTATCCCTGCTGCAGAAAAGCAGGCCCTAATCATTATGCTGCCACCACCATGTTTGACACTAAGGATGGTGTTTTCAAGGTGATAAGCTGACTACAGCTTCCACTAATGACTAATTTTCTAATGACTGATCTTGCCACAAATTTTTTGATGAATTCTATTCAGTTTATTTGTATAGCGCCAATTCACAACAGATTTAATCTCAAGGCACTTTAAAATTCAACCAGATCATACAGTCAAATTAGTCGACTAATCTAAACAACTAAAACTCCCCAATGTCGGGGGTTGTCAGTAGGGGTGGGTATTGCCAAAGAAGTCACGATTCGATTCGAATCACGATTCACAGGCCACGATGCGATTCTATCACGATGCATCACGATACTTGAATTATTGCGATGCATTGCAATATTTTATCCTCCATGTTTTGTTTTTGAATGACTCGGCACAGTATCCCGCGGCCGGAAATGCTTGTGACACAAGGCAGCGTGCGTCAACACATTTGCAGCAACATCTACTGGACTGGAAGTTGTATTACACTTGTTTTTGGCTGATGTTCGGCAACCATTCATGCAATTTTATTTATTCATTTTTTGAAATTAATAATCGATTCTTGGTATCAAGAATCGATGCAGTAGATCACAAAAATTAGAATCACGATGCATCATCATGACGATTATTTTGCACACCCCTAGTTGTCAGAGCAGCGGAGAGATGTTGACACCCAGTAAAAAAATAAAATTTACATTCGTACTGTGTCTGTGTGTGAGGGTGCTCATATGATAACCCCTCTCTCTGTCTGTTGCTGTCTCGGAAGCACAAAAATTACTACAACTGCGCGTGCATTGCATTATTCAGTGTTCATTCTGCATATGAAAAATTAATAAATATGAAAGTAGTTGAACTATAAGGGTTAAAAAGTACATGGAAGAAAGGATTATTTTTAAGGAACAGAGAGCAACTGATTGCACTGATTTTTGTGCAGTATTTTTTGATGCAAAGCCTTTCAGAATCTATAACAGGGTTATTATTATTTTTCTGTGAATGAGGTTTTAATAGGAATAGGTGGAGTGCAACTTTTCTACTTCTGTTATTTGCTGTTGTGTCTCAAAAAAAAAAAAGCATAATGATATTACAGCTTTCAATGATTTACTTCAAATTTGAAACATTGTCTAGCCTGTAAGGTGTATAAAAAAAACAATCGAATCGTATCGTGGTATATTCTTGAGTATGGAAAATAATTGAATCGTTGGGTCAGGAAATCGATACTGAATCGAATCGCCAGATCTTTGTTGGTTTGCAGTGATCATCTGATACTCCTTCCATTTCAATATTATCTCTTGCACAGTGCTGCCTGTGCAAGAGATAACAATTTTTTATCTTTATATTTGAAGCCTTAAATGTGGCAAAATGTAAAGAAGTTCAAGGGGGGCGAATACTTTTGCAAGGCACTGAACCTTTCATAATGATGTTGTTTCCCCGCAGAGGTCTTGGATGCAGCAGGACATCCATTTAATGACTATAAGGTTGTTGCGATGGGAGCAGGCGGATCATGCTGCAGTGGTTTGCTCTGCTACAGTGGGACGATGGTCCACGACTGCCACGCCATCATCATCGCCAGGAGGGCTTTGCTGAGGTGTTTGATGCCCCCTTAGTGAATAAAGAAATTGACCTTATGTAGATGCTTGGGCTGCTCATCGTTAAGTGTTGAATTTATAGTCCTTAAGCTGTAAACTGCCTTCTCCTAATGTACCAGATATTAACACACAGTTGGGAAAAGTATTCAATCTGTTTCAATTCAGAATTTTATATACTGTGAGATTTATCCGAGATTTAATAATACTTCTAATAATTTATCTCTTCAATTCATTTGTTCATTTATCCTACTTTACTTTTCTACCCATCATCTTCGTAGTTTTCTATTTCTTGCATCTTTATCATCCAGTCAGCCAGTTTTCTGTCATCCTGAAACTTAAAATGTATTCCTGTAATATTCAGAGGGAAGCTCAGACTGGCTGATCTTGATGCTTTTAAGTGCTTGTGGTTCATTGAAGACACTGTTGTGGAAATATATTTCTTTCTGGCTTCTGTTCAGGTTTCTCTACAAACAGATTTTGCTGTTCTTTGAAGCTGATCCAAAGGCCAAGGAGAGTTGTATTTTTGAGAGTAGTGCCGACAGTCACCAGCTAAAGCTCAAACCCAAAATCAGCCTCCATCTCTACACCAATCAGTTCCCTGAGGGAGCCGCTAGGAACTTCTACTTCAAGTAAAGTTGGCTGTTCATCAGTCGTCTTTTATTTTTATCACACATGTAGAATTTTGAAATATTAAATCTTAATAACCGGCTCTTTTTAGGATACATTCAGCAGTCCTATTATTCAGTAAGTTACTTCTTCTTTTGAACTGTGTCTAAAAGACTATAAAATGATGTAATTTCCTTTTCAGGTGCTCAGTGAAAAACTGTTTCGATAACTTGAAGCTGGAGTATCACGCAGCAGGGCTCCTTGTGCCTGCAGCTTACCTCAACCCAAGCTTGGCAGGTGCCAAAGTGTGCTGTCTGTCTGGCAGCGACAAGATGTGTTGCTGGACCATCACTGGAGTTCAGGGGGCATTATTGAGCCTCTTGATTCAGCCACTTTACATCACCACCGTGGTTCTAGGTAAAATCATCTACAAATTTTGCAATATGTAAAGTTAGGTTTGTCTGTTTGTGAATACTGAAGGCTTTAAGGACTGTCCACATCCTGTTGCCTTCACACCTCCCACTGTAATTGTATAGGGTTGTATGCTATAGAGGAAATAAGTCCTAAATATTTTGTATTTATTTGATTATTTAATTTTTAAATCAAGAAATCTTTTAAAAAATAACTGAAGAAGTTATTTTATAATAATATTATAAAAAATGTTTTCCTGAAACACACACATCTAATACAATGTTTTTCTATAACAATCTTCTTAAATTTCTTTTCTTTAGGAAGTCAGAAAGTCTTTAACCAAGAAATGTCTGACATCACCAATAAGAGACTGGGCGATGGATGGGAAGGAGTTCTTCCACCGTCCTACAAGAAACAAGACATCATCTTTATCTCTGGCGACTATGTGGGCCCTGCTGAGACATCCCAAATACACAACACTGTCAGCATCAACTGGTGTCTTGGAGATAAAGACATTGAAGTTCTGGACAGCAGCAAAGGCATCATCATTGAAGGGTGAGTTAGTCTTTTTTATTGTCTCTATTAGATGACATACTGTACACTACCGTTCAAAAGTTTGGGGTCACATTGAAATGTCCTTATTTTTGAAGGAAAAGCACTGTACTTTTCAATGAAGATAACTTTAAACTAGTCTTAACTTTAAAGGAATACACTCTATACATTGCTAATGTGGTAAATGACTATTCTAGCTGCAAATGTCTGGTTTTTGGTGCAATATCTACATAGGTGTATAGAGGCCCATTTCCAGCTACTATCACTCCAGTGTTCTAGTTTAGCTCGTTACAGAAGCCACTAAACTGACCTTCCTTTGAGCAGATTGAGTTTCTGGAGCATCACATCTGTGGGGTCAATTAAACACTCAAAATGGCCAGAAAAAGAGAACTTTCATCTGAAATTCAACAGTCTATTCTTGTTCTTAGAAATGAAGGCTATTCCATGCAAGAAATTGCTAAGAAATTGAAGATTTCCTACAACTGTGTGTACTACTCCCTTCAGAGGACGGCACAAACAGGCTCTAACCAGAGTAGAAACAGAAGTGGGAGGCCACGTTGCACAACTGAGCAAGAACATTAGAGTTACATTAGAGTCTCTAGTTCGAGAAACAGACGCCTCACAGGTCCCCAACTGGCATCTTCATTAAATAGTGCCCACAAAACACCAGTGTCAACATCTACAGTGAAGAGGCGGCTGCGGGATTCTGGGCTTCAGGGCAGAGTGGCAAAGAAAAATCCATATCTGAGACTGGCCAATAAAAGAAAAAGATTAAGATGGGCAAAAGAACACAGACATTGGACAGAGGAAGACTGGAAAAATTCTGAATAAGGAAGGTTATCACTCCATTTTGCAACGCCATGCCATACCCAGTGGACAGCGCTTGATTGGAGCCAATTTCATCCTACAACAGGACAATGACCCTAAACACACCTCCAAATTGTGCAAGAACTATTTAGAGCAGAAGCAGGCAGCTGGTATTCTATCTGTAATGGAGTGGCCAGCGCAGTCACCAGATCGGAACCCCATTGAGCTGTTGTGGGAGCAGCTTGACCGTATGGTACGCAAGAAGTGCCCATCCAACCAATCCAACTTGTGGGAGCTGCTTCTGGAAGCGTGGGGTGCAATTTCTCCAGATTACCTCAACAAATTAACAGCTAGAATGCCAAAGGCCTGCAATGCTGTAATTGCTGCAAATGGAGGATTCTTTGACGAAAGCAAAATTTGATGTAAAAAAAAAAAAATCTTATTTCAAATACAAATCATAATTTCTAACCTTGTCAATGTCTTGACTCTATTTTCTATTCATTTCACAACGTATGGTGGTGAATTTTCAGGAAAATACAAAATTGTTTGGGTCACCCCAAACTTTTGAACAGTAGTGTAAATGTGAAGAAAATCATTTCCTTTACTGTAGCATTCCTCACTTTCATTCTTTATATAAATGTGGTCTAACTTATGCACATTTTGGGGGGCAATAACTTGAATGTAACATTTAGTGAAGATGCACAACAATGCAAGTTAATATTTTGAACTTGAAGTATCTGAATTAATATGACTGTAATTCAGTGTCGGCTTGTGTATGAACACAAACCTACAATTAAACATTAAGTATTCTATGAACAGACACCAATTAGACCCGTTTGGTTTAGGCTGTCACTGCTGCTAATGTTCTCTGCAGCTTTAGAAATTGCTGTGACAATAATTTAAGCATGACTTGTCACCTTTAATACACCTTTGAATAAAAGACAATGTGAAAGCACAAAACATGAAACTTAAGAGGTTTGTTTAATCTACAAGAAATCTATTAAAATATCTGTATGTGTTGTGCAACATTGCACATGCTGTTAATGCAAAGTCATAGCACATGAATGATTAAACACCACACTAATCATAGAAATATAAGAAAGATGTTACTGATCTGTGCAACAGAACATCTGAGCTGTGAAGGGCTCGAGTATCGGTGAGTTCTGGCAGATAAAGAACCCTGCAAAGACAATCTATAAATAAGTAAAAACAAATGTCTTAGGTTAAGTGTATTAATGTCTTAATTTCAGCAGGTAAGTAAGATAATTTGCCAATGGAATAAGTATTTTTACTCTTAAAATAAGGTAAATATCTAATATGCACTTGAAATAAGACAATGCAAGGATTTTTCTCTCATTTTAAATGTAAATTGTCTTTTTCCATTGGCAAAGTGTCTCACGACCTCAATTCTAAAAAAATTACTTAAACTTATTTAGATGAAAATTTTTTGTAGTGTAAAGATTCAGTTTTGCTTAGCACACATACATAAAAAAAAAACATCCAAAGAAAAAACAAAAGTCAAAATAAAGATTATTTTCAAACAATCTTGCAATCATTTTTTTTTTCACACTAACCACAATCATGTGGATGTTTCACTCCATGGTTTTAGTTTTTTCATGACCCTGAAAGCTTTACTGTCCTGTATCCATTGCTGCAGGACTTTACTGTAACCTTTGCATGATAAAGTTATTTCTTTCTTATCATGCATGGTAGGGATGGAACGGTTTATGAAAACCGTCCGAGCCATTCAGTTCGACTGTCTCGGTTCGATTTGCGTGTGTTTCGTTCGGTTCATGCGCTGCTCCTTTTTCTCATAGGAAAAGCGTGTACACTCCAGAGCAGAAGGTGGCGGTACTGCGACCAAAGCCAACCACCAGTAGTAAAGAAGAAGCGAAGCAGCGTAGCAGAAAAAAATCTGTTGTTGTGGAGAATTGTGTGGGTATGGCGAGTGGGGAAGAACAGGCGTTGGAAGACGCGCCAGCAGCACTTTATAGGTCTGCTGTATGGGAGCACTTTGCATTTAGAGTGACCTACGATGCCAGAATCTCACCTACTTTTAACCTAAGACTGTCACAATGATGTATCAAATGTCAGACTGCTTTTTTCTTTCAGTTTTAACCTGACTATACAAGACATAATACATTTTCCTAACAATCAACATATACCGAACCGAACCGAAAACTGTCACCACGAAACCGTGCACCGAACCGTGGATTTTGTGAACCTTTCCACCCCTAATGCATGGATCTGTGTGCTAGCTAAAACTCTCTCTTCCCTTCTGTGTGGCTTAACTATTAAAAATCCCTCAGAATCAATATCTTAGTTTCCAGACAACTACTTAGAAAAACTTTTTGTAAACTTAAACTTTTGATTGTAAGGGCATATAAAGTGTATTTTAACAATAATAATAGGGCCGATGTCACAAGTGAATTTCTCCTTTGTGAGATTAATAAAGAATCAATCAGATTAATTGTGATTAATTGATTATTGAAATAATCGCTAACTAATTTCGTATCCAGTTAATTGTTAACCTAAGCTTTGAGATTTTATAACATGCCTTTAGTTGACAGAGTGACCCACTTGGAGCAGTAATTATATAAAAATTGTAAAAATATATATAAACATATATATAAACATTTTAATCTGTTTATATCCACTATCCAGAACTTCTGAAGTGGAAAAGTTTTAGTTTCCCCTGGTTTAATTTCTATAAAAGTGTTCTTTGAGAAACCTTTTGCCGTCCGATTATTAATCGATTAATCGAAAAAATAATCGACAGATTGATTTGCAAAAAAATCGTTAGTTGCCGCCCTACAGTAAAGTTCTATTATATTAAGTAAAGCATTAAAATAAAAGGCCAATAAAACAGAGATATAGCTAAGATTATCACTAGAGAAGAATATTAATTTGGCCTTGGTTAAGCATATGGCATCTATAGATGGTTTCACAAGTATTATTTTTTTATTCCTGTTTTTCACGCTTACTATTACTATTTTAACTCGTTACATTAAGAAAAGCACCGTCCCATAAAGGTTGAGTTCCAGTAATCTATATAGTGAGGTTGCTGGCTGAAGGCTGCGCTTGTTTAACTGGTCTGTAGCTCCTGCCATCCTTTAAGCTTAATGTCCACCAGCTAGATGGAAGACAACCATGTCCTCTATTTCTGCACATCATTCTGCTACCTGTCCAGCTTCTCTCCATTAGGTTGTACAGTTCACCTTTAAATGACACCATTGGGAAGTGAAAGGACACCCATAAAATTTGATACTGCTGCAGCCTTTTTTTTAAAGTACCAATCAATTGACCAGTAATGGAACTCAGTCTGTTAGCTTTTTAAACTTGAATCAAATGTATTTTCTTCACTGTATTAAACTGATTACACTGATTTTTTTTTTCTCAAAATGTATCAGAAGTGATCACTCCCAGCACCTTTTTTATTGCATTTTTATTCTCTGCATACCTTCTGCAATATATTTGTCTTTCAGTTTTGAACTTGGATAAAGCTTAGGTACATTTATGGGGATTTCATTTTGTTTTGGAATCAGATGCTATCTCAATGAACCGGCCCATAATTTTTCTGAAGTAATTTGTTTACAATTATTTACTGACAGCTAAGTTTGCTTAAATAAGGGTTGTGTGCCATTTGGACTGAGAGCTGCAGCATCTGCATTGATCTCCGAATCCCATTTAAGTGTATTGCATGCAATGGGCAACAACATAATTGCTTTGCACTGAAACAACTGAAAAACCCACCTTAGCGTGAAAATAGACCCAGCTTAGTGAAGCTTGTACCACACTCATAATATTAAATGTGGATTCTCTGTTAGCCGGTCGAGAAGGCATATCTATCCATCTGCTCCTGACTGAGTCGGTCCATGTGGAAACATGGTACCCTTCACTGCTTTCTGAGTTAAAATGTTTTAACCTTGCTCTGTCCCTTGTTTCGTTTTGCTAATCTTTTTTGACTATAACTGATTGAAATCTGTTGTTGGTTTGAGCACAAAATGCGCACCATCAGAAATAATGGCCTTACAGCTTTGCATGATGTTTTGTTTTTTTCTACTGTCTATATATTCAAAAATGCCTCGTTTGCCTAAACAGAGTGCAGCACTGTTGTTTTATGTCTAGCTCCACAGAGCTCACTGCATGTTTAAATGAAAATATCTTTGTGACTCTGGGACATTCTTTACGAAAACTACAAAATTAATCAATTTACACATCCCATAATGTCACAGAAAAGATCTGTCATTGATGACAAGCTTCCACTTTACTCGTAATAAAAAGAGGAGAACCTCTTTGTGGCTGAGCATCAAAATACATTAGACTAGATCAGAGCAGACTTTAAAGACTGCTCTCAGCTGTTCTACTCTGACTCTAACTTTAAGCTGTGCCACCAGCTGTTTCTTTACGAGCAAAATGCTTCCTACGTTGCCTGCATACAAAACACATTAAACATACATACTCACAATATTTATTCTCATTCATCAAGCACCAAAATCTGAGACATTTCCTGTACAGCTTCTGCTGAGTACATCTAATTCACACAGGAAGTTTTGTAATGTTATCATGGAAGCTCAGGATCCATAGTTGATGTTTAAGTATAGTCAGGATCTGATATCCGAACATAAGGACTCGTATATTCTTGGATAAACATGGAGGGCAACTCTAGAGACACCTATCATCAGGCTTAGCCATTTTACTTTGGGAAACCCTGCATAGTTTTTTTTACCCATTAACATATAACATTTAGCAGCATTTAGTAGCAGTAACTGCAATCATGGTTTTCTGATAAGTCGTTATTTAGCCTTTTTTGCCTAAATGTCTTTCAGAACAGTTTATTTCAGCTATAGTGGAAGGTTTTCAAGCATTGTTTTTTTTTTTAAGGTCATTCCTCAGCTTCTCAGTAGGATTCAGGTCAGGACTTTGACTTGGCGAACCAAAATTTATAATGTGGATTTTCTTTAGGCATCCAGAGTTACAGTAGCAGCCATTCAAAATGGCCCTTCCCAATCAAACACCAGCCAAATGACAGCCCACTTCCCTCCAACTCCCAGCAGAATTCCATCCAACTTCCAACAACTGGAGTGACCCCCTCCTTCTCCTGGGCGTGCATATTTATTTAACTCTGACTCCATCCTTTCACTGAATTACAGGGTCTGACCTAGAGATGACGCTTCTCTCAGGATCTTAATGTCCATAAATCATGACACAAAGAATATTTTAGTACAAAGATTGATGTTTTAAAAGGAATTGTGGAGGACCAGAAAAGAACCCATCAAGGAAAGTGGGGAAATATGAATGGCATACTGTAGATTTTCTCTGTGTTTGCTCAGATTCAAGGTAACACTGTATTTTCTGAAATGCAGTGTTACCTTTACGGCAGATGTGAAGGGACTGGCACCCTCTTAGTCCACAGAATATTTTCCCTGAAGTCTTGAGGATCATCAAATCTGTTCTGCAAATATGGAGACCAACCTCAATGTTGTTTTCCGCCAGCAATGGTTTTCTTCTTTGAACTTAGCCATTTTTGTCCAGTCTCTTCCCTACAGTGGATCCACCATCCCTGACCATTTTTGGATGAGTCGACTTGTGGCGTTGGTATAATTTTGGTCAGCTGGATGCTCATGGGAATGTTTTCCGCTGTTTAGTGTTTAATCAATTTGAGGATAATGGCTCTGACTATGATTCACTGGACTCCCAAAGCTCTAGGCTTTGTAACTCTTTCCAGACTGGTTGATCTCAGTTACTTTACTTTCGTTTGGTTCCGATTTTCTTTTGATCTTTGTTTGATGCATAGCTTTTGGTGTACTTCCCTTTGTCAGATGGATTTTATTTAATTGATTTCTTAATCGAGAACAGGTATGACAATAAACAGGCCTTGGTGTGGGGAGAGAATTAAACTCACATGTGATGAACTGTAGTTATGTTTTTAAAAAAAAAAATTCACAAAGAAACAAGTAGGCTTACTTTTATTTTCTACACTCTTAATCAAATCCAAACCATAATTTAATTTATATGTTAGGGAATTTTCTGTTAACTTGTCTCCTTTCTATTTGTTTCAGAATTCGAATGCTTTTTGCGTCATTGAACGTAGCACACCTACATTTGCTTCAAAACATTAAATACAGGGAGGATAGGTGCCTCAGGCTGTTCTGAAACACTTTATATTCTCACAATATCAAACATGCAAAAAAGAAGCCAGGAATATGGCAAACATTTCTCCCACCAATTTAAAAATTAATTGGTAAATGCGTATGTTTAAATCAAACATTTTGTTACAAATTGAGTCATCAGTCTGTTTATCTAAAAACTTTCTATAAATACTGTAGATGTTTGTTAAACATGAAAGTTTTCCATCTGGTCTGTTTAATAACCTTCTAGGTTTTCACTGCATTTTTTGCAACAACTGACCGTAGTTAGTGCTGCCTTTCACCTGGAGAAACACTACATGTGGCTTTATCTGTAAAAGATTTAAAAACCAGGATGTGCAGAAGTAGTGGCATTTTTTTCACTCTCTAAGACGTAATCTGTTTTTAGAACTGTGTCCCAAATGTGACACTGTATTCAATGCTGTAAGGACTGCAAACTTAAGGCAACACAAAGCTACCATTTTTTCTCTGGGTTATCTGTGCTCACAGCTTTCACTTCAAGCTTCTTAAACATGTAGTGAATTGTTCTGTTTCAGTACCTGACAGGGAATATTAATATATTTATGGTGTAATTTGTTTCCTAGTTCTCCTTTTGTGAGCGGGCCAAGCTTCTCCAGCAGACTTTGCAAGAGAGCCCTCTACAGTTACTTCCAGAAAGTTGCACTGCTGGTTGGCCACAGCTACCTGACAGAGCTTCCCACCTACCACAGTGTCAAGGTTTGTAATCTGAGCTGTCAATCCAGCTGTTAAATGCCAGTTAGGCCACACAAATTAATGGGAAATTAATGAAGGTCAGAGGAAAGTCCCTGTAAAGATAGCAGGGATAGCATGTGGGTGTGTGTGTTTATACATACAGTCCATGAATGTATGTAGGTCTATATATAGATTCATACAGACTACTGATCAACATTTGGGGGTCTCAAGAAAACTTGCACTTTATTAATCAATTTTTTACCTTTGCAGTTTACCTGTTTGTTGAGTTAAGTTAAGGAAATGTGTTCCTTAAGCATATTCCACGTGTTTGATGAGCACTCATTACTTACCATACAGTATAGCTGGTCCCACTAGATCTGGTGACATTAAACACCAGCTTAATAACAGAAGACGGCGTCTTCTCCCCGCAGTTCTTGGATAGTTTGAAGCTATGCTTTGGCTCACAGTCAGCCGTGGTGTTGCAAAATAAAGTCATAGCTTTTCATATGCGATATTCCATTTATCCTGGACAATTCTCCCACTTCCCCAGTATCCCCACACCCTCTGCTTTCCTTTACTGTGTTCAACAGTAGGCCTGTGTTGAAGTAGTCCTCTAATATTTTTCTTCTTTTGTTTTTTTGCTCGTCTCACAAAAATCTCTGTCCAGTGTTTGTGTTCTTTTCCGTTCTGATTGTTTCCTTTAGTTGGCTAATCTCAGATATGGCTTTTTCTTTGCTCCTCTACCAAGAAGCATCCTGAAGTCAGTGTTGATGATCAGCCTGGTATCCTTTAATAAAAATTAGGACCATTGAGGCGTCTGTTTCTCTTACTTAAAATACTTTGATCTACTTATTCTACTTGGGTTGTAAAAAGATCTTCAATGTTTTTGGCAAAGCCCTCATTTCCCAGAACAAGAATACACTTGAGTATTTTTCTGAATATTCTTTTCTGGAAATTTTGAGACAATGCTCCTCATACTATACTTGCCAAATGAAGACCAATTTTATGGCTTCCATAATCAGGTGAACTGTTTTAGCTGTACTAAGAGAACACATTTTAAAGGATCATTTAACCTTTTAGTTGCTTGTTGCTAAAAAAAGGGGTTAAAAATTTCATATAGATAGGTATACATTTTACAGCAGTAATTAATATTCTCTCACTGTATTGGTCTTCATTTTATTGAGAAATAATAACATATACAGGTGACCTCCATCTATATATCAACTCTACATGTGTCTGAGTATTTCATGATGCTTCTTTGCTGGTTTTTGCATCACCACTTATTTTTTTTATGGGCCTTTTTCCACAGGTGGAGGCTACCGTGTACCAAACAGTCAAAGATCTGGTCAAGCAACGCTTCCTGAGCAACAAAGCAGGGCCCTGGAATTCAAAAAATCTTGTGGATTGTTTCAGTTCTTAAAATTATCCACTTCAGACGTTATGTTTAGATTTTTTAAGTTCCTCTAGAGAGTGGAGTTGTTCTCTTAATTATTTCCTGTTGGTGTTTATCTGAAAAGCAGTTCTGTTTTTTTTTTTTTTTTCATTATTGTATGGCGCTGGAGTTTTCTTTTTTTTGAGTAGGTGTTTGAAGAAAACAAAAATAAATAAAAACAACAGTTGTAACAGAAATCAGTTTGGGTGATTTGTTGTAGAAAGAGCTTGTGTTGGAGGTTGTAGAGTTAAAATAGGGAGTATTTCTCTGCCATGTCGAGGGGAATGAAACCTTTAGCATTTAGACCTGCAGGGAGTGCTTACACTAACAGCACAGCACATTGTCTCAGGATAATAGAGGTGTTCAATCATGGAAACAGGAAGGAGCTGTAAACGCTGACTCCTTTTCAGTTTCATGAAATATCTAATATACTGAACAGAGTTTTCTTTAGAAGGTTGTTATTGTAAAATCATTTCAATACTAAAATTAGAAAAATAAGAGTATCATTAAAAAGATTCATTACCCAGACCAAAATATTTCAATGTATTACATAAGAACAGAGTATTTTTTTAACAGATATTGTGACCGCATGAAAAATATTTCTAATTAACAGTTCATGCACTCAGGGCTTCTGCATTAATACAGCGTGGCTCTGATGAGGTGTTGAAGCCCTGATTGCTTGTGGCTGTTATGTCTGAAGGTCCTTTCGAGAAGACATATGCTCTGTGGTTTCTGTCTGATAAGTTTGCTGCCAATCAAGCACAGCAATATCATGGTTATCAAAGGAAGTAGTGGTATTTTTGACTAATTGGAGGCAAAGTTCTGGAAATTAAAGTGTGACCCCATACAGAGTTCAGAGGTTATTCATGTTGCTAAGACGCCTTCAATGAAACCATTTCCTTCCACTCAACTTTCCACTAAAATATTTTATTACAGGATTTTGTGACCAGCCAACTATTGTTTTTTGTTTTTTTTTACAGACTGTCAACTATCATTGTGTGCTATAACATACTAACAACATAAAACCAATTTTGATTGTTTCTGCATTATCAAAATGCTCTGAGAAACTACTTATAATCAGATAACCCCCCCAAAATATGCCCTCTGCTTAATCTCATGTTCCTGGAAGTGTCCATTTAATTTCAAAATGTACTTGCTGTACTGTTTCTTATATTGAAGTGTATTAAACAAGAAGAGATAGATTTGTATTACATAAAAAAGCTAAGCCTAAAATGGGAGAAACAAAGAAAGCATAAATGAGCATTTTTCTGATTTTATGGCATTTTAATTGGATTTATCACTGATTACTGATTTGCTTGTACACATCACAAAATACTAGCAACATATAGATAAATATATAGGCAGCGATAGCAGCTAGAAACGGCTTAAAGCTGTGAAATCATGAAAGTGAGCAGGCAAAGGGGGCTTCATTCAAGGAAGTGACTAAAACCATCAAGCAGCTCAAACAAAAATTGCCAGATTTTCTAGAACAAAGAGGCTGTAAACATCTTAAATATTTCTTACATAAATGTGATAAAATGATCAAAATTGAACAATATTCATAAAGAGCTGAACCTGTAATGTTAAATTTGGTATTTTATTCTTTTACACAAAATGCTCCTCAATTTATTGTCACCATTGCACCGCTCACCAGTTGCTTGGCAACCAACTCCTCCTTGGTGTTGGTTCATTTGCTCGACTCGTTAAAATTACAGGTTCTTTTACAATATTTTCCGGAAACAAAACCAGCAATAGAAGTGTGTTGAAAACTTAGCTGATGAAGCTGTGTGCATTGCTTTTACTAATAAACCTGTCAGCCTTCTTCTGAAAGGCGGAAAAATTAAGCTGCTTTAATATAATGGGACATGTGGAGGTCAGCACATTGGTATTGTTAAATTATCATGGTTGGACGTTTAGCCAGATGTCAGATTCATCTCCTTGTAGAAAGACAGAGCTTGTGTATCCGTGGCTCCGGTCTGAGCTTGAGGAAGAACCACACTGTTCACAAAAAGATCTGAAAGATAATTAAACATCTGTGAGTCGCTCAAAGATGTGAGGAACTGTCTATTTTAAGCATGTGGCAAAGAGTTTAGCTAAATTTGAACTGTCAGATGGAAGCTTTTTATAAATATTAGCAGTCGTGCCCTTTTAGTTTGGTTTAAACGTGTGTAATTATAAAAAAGCTGTAAACACTTAGGGTCATCTCACTGTCATTAATTCAAGCAGTGACCTTGAATGTGATCTCAGCAGTTAATGTGCCATAAAATCCAAGAACCTTGTGGCGTGTCCTTTCCTAGACTCCATTCTTAAAAAGATAATCACACCTTGTAATTTGAACTATCCGTACGGTGCACGGGATTTGGCTTTGTTTCCTCACCAAGGTTTGGCCTCTTGCAGAATGAGTCTCTCTGGCTGGAGTCAGAAGAAGCTGACGTGCTCTCTGTTGAGTTGGAATTGACAGAACGAACTGATGGTACTGCTGCTCTTGAACGTTTTTCTTTTGGCTTTGCGAGGACTCTAACAGATGCTGAATTGCTCCACTCTGAAAAAACATAACAAACAGAGGTCAAAATTTGAATTTAAATCAGGGTTAATATTCAGTCTTGGAAAAAAAATAGAATCCAAATGTATGGACTTCCAAGTGAGAAAAAAGGCCAACTGAACATCCAGTTACGAAATAAAAAGAAAAAAAAACGGTATTTTGGACAAATATGGTGGGCTTTTAACATCAAATTGAATCTACATTTTAATAAAAAGATAAGGAAATGTGTTTGGTCTGAAGCTGAAAATCTTTAACCTGAATCCGCCAGATGGATTTGCTCCGCATATCCATCTGGAAACCTTCCGTTGAAGTAATTTTGGGAAGGGGCGAAAATACTGGTTATCTGATTGGCCTATGTTGGTGATAGATGGGCCAAATAAACTAATCAGATGAACGAAGCATATGACGTACTAACAGACCGACAACGGAAACACAACCACAAGCCAGGCTACTCTTGCCAAAACCAGTCGGGAGAAGAGTAAAAACATCTTTTCCTCTGAGAAAAGCCTCCAGAGCAGTGTTTTGCTCTTCTTTCAGTGAAGAAATACTCTGTAATTCCCATCAGTGTGTGAATGGGTGAATGAATGTGGTGTAAAGCGCTTTGGTCAAGTCTCCTAACTTGAATAAAGGCGCTATATAAGTACATGCCATAAGTACATGCCATAAAACTTGCTCGATAGCCACGCTAACGCTAGTTTCATCGGCTGAAGCCGCCATGTTCTTTAGACTGAACTGTCGCGCTTTTCGTTGCGTCACACCTCAACCTGCCTCAAAGCCAATGCTGATTGGACGTTCGTTTGGTGAACGGCTCCAAATTTTCTTCAACGGAGAGTCTCCAGACTGATCTGCGAGTGAAACCTTGAAAGCTCGCGAGATCAGGATGGTCTCATGAGGCTAGAAAATTTTTGCTTCTTGGCAATAAATCCTACACCCTTGGGAAGGTGGTTTTAATTTGTTCTATGGTAGTACGTTTGCAAAGAGAATAGATTAATTATACATATTGCATTTATTTGTTATATGTATTGAAACACAACTTATTTAAATACCACAGAATAAAAAAAGGTGTGAAATGACCCATTTTAACACATGCATAATGTGTTTTATAACTTGCAGAAGTTAGAAATAATAAGTGTGAATTATATAGCTGTTGTTTTGTACTTAAATATCCAGAATTGCATTAAAATGTGTTTTTCATATGGGGTAGATAATGTTATGGTAAATTAGTAGGAACTCCATTAAATGCAAGTAGTGACAACCTGATTCAAGCAAATAAATGTAGAATCAGTGTATTAAGTTGAGTGTTGGTACCAGAGTTCTCGTCAAGGCGAAATCGTCCAAAACAGAGATAGGCCCTCCACTGTTTCCTCACGTTCTCCTTTAACAGACAGTGGAACAGGAAGACAAAAAGCCCTGGAGATAAAGAAATTAATTGGAAAGCCGAGTGAAAAAAAAGACATGGACTTAAAATTTTACCGAACCACAGCTTCCGTACCACATCCCTTAAAGGAAACTTAAGTTTGAACAGAGTTTCTCTCCTAAGCAACATTGCTTGGGTAAGAAAAAAGATTCTAATCATTACAGGCCTTTGCTGGCTTTGGTGTCTCATAGAAGTCCTAGAGGTCTCTGTCATTTTTGCCCAGTTTTTATTACTGTTGTATTTTAGTCCTTACAAATTTCTTGTCACTTTTTGGTTTTTTTATGTCCAGCCAGAAAACAAAAAAAAAAACCTTTTGAAATAAATTCCTCCAGAATTACCATTAATGCTGATAAACTGTTTATAAGCATCTGATTAGAACCTAATAAAACGGATTGAAAAACCCAATCGCAGTCTATGGGCAAAAGCTGGGGTAGACCCTGCACAGGTTGTTATTTTATCACAGGGATCAACCTAACAGTCATGTTAGGAGAAAGCCAAAGTATCTGGAGAGAACCCAGAGATGCACAGTGAGGACTTTCAAACTGCCTGCAGAAAGACACCAGACCAGGAATCAAAAATAGGACCTTCTTGCTACAAGGCAACAAAATGCCACAGTGCATCCCCATGTCAATACTTTTTACAATTGAAATACTGCTAATTGGGCCATTTACATTGGATTCAAATCATATTGACAATAACCCAAGTAATCCACACACCCAAACTAATCAGGGCAAATTAAGTTATGGTTAAAAACCACTGAGTCGCACTAAACCACAATTGTCCCTATGGACAGTCACTACACAAGACTTCATTGCTGGAGAAAATGTTGAAGTTATTTTTTAAATAGGGTGACCAGATTTGGGTCTCTGAAAAGGACACATTTTTTTTGGGGGGGGGGCGGTATGTATACAAATATGGAATAAAAATGAGTTTGCCTCATCTGGCTAAATTAGTAGAACAATTTGATACAGATTTGGAGTCAGTGGGTCACATGACCTGGAAGCTATTGAATAAATATCAATTATTTTTGTAATAAATTTTTTTTTAAATATACAAAGGCTTTAAATGGAATAAAAATGAGTGTGCCTCATCAGGCTAATGTAGTAGAACTATTTGACATAGATTTTGAGTCAGTGGGTCACATGACCTGGAAGCTATTAAAGAAATGTCCCAAATTTTGTCTTTAAAAATATCTTTAAAATTAAAAATAGCTTAAAATTGCATAAAAACCAGTGTGCCTTACATTTTATCAATTGGTATGATTTTATATTAGTTTCGTCTTAGCTGGTCATAAGATAAGGAATTTATTGATTTTTGTTTCTCAAGAAGTCCTTGGTTAAAAGATTTGTTGACGGTCCCTAAATGCACCACCGTTTGTGATAGGAGGGAGCAGCTGAGAGACGCTGGTCGACATCAGAGTTCCTTGGTCGGATCAACCGTTTGCTAGATACCGCTGACCCCAAGGAGCTTTAATATCCAACTTCAACCAACATCACTGCAGTGCCTACGGCTGCACTGTAGTCGACAAAAATCCTGGACAATTTTGAAATTCCCTGCGGACATTTTTTTAGGTATAAAAAGTAAACCATATCCGGGAAAAAGAGGACGTTTGGTTACCCTAGTTTAAAGTTTGGGGGGGGGGTTCTAAGCAAGACAATAGTCCCAAATAAACAGCCAAAGAAACTCCTCATTGGTTTTAGAAAAGGAAAGGCTGGAATATCCCAGTCAGTCACGCCTGACCTGTAGAACACTATTGGAAGTAGATGAGGATCTGAGTACATTTAAGGACCAAGAACAGAACATGTGTTGCATTTCTGAGAGCGTGCAAAGCATTTGTTCCCTCTTTAGTCCTTTTTTATTTGTACCCACAAAATTTGAGGACTAATTTGCTTAGATTTTTTTGTATTTAGTGATAACTTGGAGTGCTTTGGACATCTGGTGTAAATCTTATATCTAAGCTCTTATTAGAAATACCTAAAAAAAAAAAAAAAAGAAAGAAAGGCCTTGACATTTTCAATTTTTGTCTCGTTTCAAAGCGAACGTACCTTGCAATGTGTTCAACCCAGAGAACAGGTACAGCAGAACTACTCTTGCTGGTCCCCAGGTGAAGAAGCCTACAGTCCACGTTAGTCCAAGTAAAAAGGTGAGACTAGCTACTCCCTTCAGGTCCTGAAGAAGCCCTCTCCGGGTCCCTGCCGGGCTGTTGAAACGCATACGGCGAATCTGAATCAGTACTACGACAAAAACCTACGGAGAGATTTATAAGGAGGTTTTAATCCGTTATTTTCTGAAGAAATTTCAAGTATCCAAAGCACAATTATTTTTTGTTTTGTTTTAATTGGGCATATTCCTATAAGTTATCATTTAAAATATAAACTTTAATAGTTTTGTATACAATTTAAAAGTACCTTTAAATGAAGAGCTCCACAAAAATAGTCCACTTTGATTACAAATGTTCAGGTTGTGATTTTAAATCTTATTTACCCCGATGTTGAAGAGACAAATCAGCCCAGCGTAGGCAACCACAGACACAAAGAATGTCACATCATCCTGAAGCCAGCAGCTGTTATGGCATAAAGTAACACGACATAAAGTATCATTACACAAAGAGATATTATAAAGGCAAAGGAAGAAATACTGTAATTTATTGTACGTGTAAAATATCTGAATATTCACTTTGTCGCCTTTCCTACATGATTATTTCTTAAACTGGGTATAATTATTTAGTGTTGTTACTCTTATTATAATATCAAATATTTGCCATAGGTAAAGTATACTGAGACGTTTACTTCTTTAGTAACATTATTTGATGAGTATATTTCTACAGATATGTAACTCCAGCGATTTTTTGACTAGAAAATCAAAACGTGAAACATAGATACCAAGCAAACTCATATCTTACAAGGTGTCGGAGTTGTCCAAAGGCTTTAAAGTTGAATCAGCATCTGTGTAGAGTTGACCGCCGTATGCATCTCGATTTACAATGAGAACCGTGACGCAGATTACCAGAGGAATCCCTGAGAAAGAGTTAAAACCTCAATACTTTACTTTTAAAGCTGCTTTGTTAGTTATTTAGCTATTATGAGTTTGCAGAGCTTGGATTACAGCTTACCCCATCCAAGAGCACAGAACTTGAGGATATAGGAGGGGACATAGACGTTGAAGACTTTAACAAGGGCGAAATACATGTTGATGGCCTCCAACCCCATCCAGGTGAAGGATGCCAGGAGGAAGTAGTGCAGCATGGATGCTGCTGCCACACAGAGGCCATACAGACCCCAGGAAGACAACCAGGAGTTGAGCAGAAAGACCAGATTCAACCCCAGCAGGGCCAAAGAGAGGTTTATGAGGATCTGAGAGGGGTAATCTCTACGAAGCTTTCTAAATCAGACATTGAGATGAGCGTTACAGAGAGAGAGAGTTTAAGACTTGAAAAAAGTAAAATATTTATCTGATGATTAGATATTTAGACATAACCTTTCTATATATGGCTAGAAAACGTTAGACTAAGCGACTATTTGGAATAATTTGAGTGCATATGTTAACGTTGATCTAACTTACTCAAAGGCCATATATGTGAGAAGGGTGATTCCTAAGAACAGAGATGAGACTCCACAACCAGCATAGGTGATAATGGTCAGGATCTGCTCGTTAGCCGGGTCCAGCTGAGTCCTGGAGACATCCTATGAGTTCAAATAGAAAAATATCAACAGGATTGACTTTTACTCATTTATAATCTAATATTTGTAAAAATTAGCTTGATTCAATCTCAGGAGCTATCTTCCCTTTATGCATTCCTCTCCTCAGCTCCCCCTACAGGCCTCTTATAGAACTTGATTCTATGAAGTGAGGTGCTTCTTGGTGATGGGGGCTTTATGTCTAATGACACGATTACTTTGGTTGATTTTAACATATGTTTTAGATCATCACCTGCTGAGAGACCATTGCTATGTCTAGTTTTCTGAGGAATGACGTGTATCTTTTCATGAGTAATTTAAAGAGAAGCATCTCCACAGAATGACAGATCCACCATCAGTGAGCATGAAATGCTTTCTCACCTATTATTTATGTCAAACCAACCAGGGGGGTTTATTACTGGAAGTCTATTTGAGTCATGTAGATCACATCTAAGCCCAGCTGTGAGGTTTATTGATATTCTTTGGAAAACTGTAATTTTTTAATCATTGTACATGTTAATCTAGTTGTCATGAATAGAATGGTTATGTTGGTTATGTTTAAAAAAACAACAACTCATTAACAGTGACAGGCTAGGCGCTAAGCGCCTCAAAGGAAGATGAAGAAGAAAGGAATAATGCATGTGTTTTAATACAGGCAGGGTTTTCTAATAACTGAAAGGAATCAGAAAAAATATTCACACCTTAAACCTTTCCACATTATGTGGCCTTATAACTAGATATCTTTTTAGGACTTATGATCTGTCAAGTGTTGTAATATAAATATAATATTTTTACAAAATGAAAATCTAAATGCATACGACATGCATTTGGATTATTCCCCCTAAAGGGTGCAGTGAGATTGGACAGAAAGTTAGGTCTGGACTTTAACTAGGCCAATCTAAGACATTATGATGTGGATGTAAGCAATTTATTGAAGCTCTGCCTGTTTGTCTTAAGTTGTTGCTTTGGTGGAACTTTTTTACATTCTTGGTCTCGATTGAGCTCCACCCTTTTCCCATTAACTATGCCCAGCATCCCTTTCTGTGCTGAAAGGGGCTATCTATCTATCTATCTATCTATCTTTGGTTGAATTGTATTCACTGCAGGTTTATGTGTTTAATAATCTGGGATTGTGGAAATATATTTAGTCTAACTTTGCCTTTTTGTTTCCAAAATCCGTACTGTTGGTTCCCTCTGCTGTAATAATGTAATGTAAGTTAGTTAAGCACCTTACTTTGTTTTATAACCACAATTATTTGACATACTTTAATTGAGATCATTGCTTTAAAACATTGATTCCCAAAGTTGGGGTAGCGATGCCACTTGGGTATGAGTATGAGGTCTTTAGATCCACTACAGAAAAATAAACAATAAACATCTATGTTAAAGTGCTTCAAACTACAAAATCACCTAAAAATGGACAAAATCAACCACTTTTTTGATATTTTCTAATATTTCACTGATTTTGTAGAAATGTTTGAATGCTCCAAAAGTACTTTGGGTCATGGGCCGAACTCTGGTCCCATTTTGTGCGTCCGAATCACAAAATGGTATCTCTGCAGGAAAATAACAATTAGGTGCTAAAATCTTCTCATTTTAGCTCTGCCTGTTAAATCCGACTGTCAGAGTTTCCAGGAATATATTATCTTCACCAAAGGATTCTTACTAGAAGAACTCCAAAGTGTGTGAGATGATTGCAGAGGCACGTCGTGTTGCCAGCAGTGCTGTTGTATTTTCTGCAGCCGTGATCATCCCAGTCCCCATTCCCATCTAGATGTGGACGGATAAATAAAAAGTACAATTGTTGTTTTTTTTTAATCAGCTTCTGATAAATATGAAGAAATGTGTCTCTAAATGTGGACTTACTATTTTTATTGAAGTTCCAGTACACACACTGGACTTCTTTATCATACTAGGAAATAGGAAAAAAAAACTGTTAATCTGAAATGTTAAAAGCTTATTTGTTCTTTTCTGGTTTACTGTTTATTTGAATAAAATCTCTCCAACTCTGTTGGGCTGTAAATGGTGCAGCATGATGGTAACGTCTTCAGGAAGGTCTTTGATTGGGGAGCTGCCGTTGGTCACACTGGCCGATACCACAAAGGTGTTGAGGATGGGCCTCTCTTTATGGCTCTGAAGAGACAGTAAACAGAAACCACTTTCCTTAACCAAAATATGCAAATAAATTAAATAATTGATAATTTTTCCTCATCAAATACTACCGGAAAGAGCAGTGGGTTGGCGTAGAACTGAAACTGGATTCTAGGGTGTTTCTGGTTCACACCGTATTGTGCAAAGTTCTTTTGCAGGACAGAGGGCAGGGAAATGAAAGCCACAGTGCCGTCTGTAGGATACCTGTTAATAAAAATCTACACAGCAGAGAAAAGCAAATCCTTAATGTTACACTACATGTCTAAATATATTCTTTATTAAGGATTATTTTGCACAGTAGGGGAATGTTAGAAGGAATCAGTATTCTAAAACAATGACAAAAAAATCCATTGTCTCTAATTAATAAATGGACTTCATTTTATAATAATATGCTATTTTATAAGTTGTGATATTAGATTTTAATGCATCAGTCTCAAAGTATATAAGACCTTAAGTGAAACGCATAAGTAGCATGAAGTATACATAGATTAAACTAGAATTAGAATAATTGAAAGAAAAAATGAATTAGTTTGAATTTAGGTCTAAATGGCTGTTTGGATAGACATTTAAATAAATACAGCACCCTCCATAGTTATTGGGACCGTTCTTTATCCATAGAAAACCCTTGAAATGAAAATATTTTGTTTTGTAAAAACAGTCCCCCTGCTGCTCTTAAAAACCGGAAAGATCAACCTACAGAAATCTATCTGCCAATCAGAGAGCATGAAGGATCGTACAGCTGGAGTTGGTCCGATAAAAGTTACCTGACACACGGTCCAATCGTTAAAAACAGTTAACCGCAGAAAAGAAAACCCTTTTTCTTATGGGAATGTAAGTCCACAGACATAAATCCTGTAGGACACCTATTAGTTAAGCTGTAGAGGAAAAAAATCAATTATTTTGGAAGATCTACATCCCTGGAGCCTCTATGATCCACCATAGAAAACATTGGATTCTTTCTGATGCTAAAAGTGTTAGGAATCCAGTTTGTGTGGGTTGTTTTTTGTTTGTTTTCCTCCACCAGGTGGCGCCTGGTTCTCGTTGGCCTTCTCACACACCTGCGGATGGTTGCGTCATTAACGGAGGACTCTTAAGCTGCTGACTGCCACTACCCCTACGCCAGAGTGTTTGCCAGTTTTGGGCACTCTAGCCAAGCTGAGTTTTGCTGAGTCAAACTGAGTTTTTGTCACCTGAGTCTTAGCCTTCTTTTTTGTCTTTGCCTCTCGGCAGGAGGTCATCCTGCGAACTGAATGTTTTGGACCTTCTCCCCTCTGGAAGGATAATCTGAGCTTCAAACTGAACTGAGGATTCAAACTGGTGGTTTGGATCTACTTTTCCCCAAGGATTGTTTGGGCTTCTCTCTGAGCAGGGGATTCATCTCCACAAGAAACCGTTCAAGTACCGCAGGAAAACTAAGTGACAGTCAGCTCCTCCGTTCCTCAAGGAAACACCTCAACCTGGTTAAACCCTGTCTGCCCTCCAACGAGCAAGTCTGTTACTGGAACAATCCACACCGACTGGATTTAAAAAAAAGACACCTTTTTCTGGAAACGTGACTCCTGTTGCCTTAATTCCCTTCTTCAAATCAAAGACACAAATTTCCCACTGAGCCTTAACTAACCGCAGAATCTTCCCCTTCACTTTTAAGTCCCGGTTCGCCAGTGTTCGGAGCAGCACTGGACTCCTCTCTACTAACTCACAATAAACCTGTTAAACCTTCCCCTGGTCTCTCTGGTTTTCTGCATGTGGGTCAGATCTTTGGATAAAATCATTACAAAAAGATCCCAAAACCTGTGAAAGGTGTTGTAAGTTTAAAGGTATAGTGGAAGATTTTGACAAATTTTTGAAAAGACCTGTCCTCTCCACTTTAAAAAAAAAAAAAAAAAATGAATGCAGATGCATGTACCCGCTCCCTAGAGGATGCGTGTGAGAGCATGCACGAGCCCATTGCTCCTCATGCGTGCTCTGTTTAAAAGATGCTGTTTGCATCACTCATACAAGCTTACTTTCATTCCAAAAAAGTTAAAAAACAAACCACTGGACTTTGTATCCAAGTTTGAAGAAGTTTAGCTTCCCATTCAGGAAGCTTTTTCCAATTTAAAATGTCAGAAATAGCATTGAGTTCGAGGCTTTGTAGAGTGCACCAAAAATAAAGTCTTGTTTTAGCTTAGAAAACATGAAAATTGAACCGGACAAACGTCCCAATAGGAAAAAAGGTTCCTGGATACGAAGCGATAGATCTTCAAACTTGGAAAGTCCATTGGATTTGTTTTTCTTTTTACTTTTTTGGAAATACCATGACCTGGATGACTGAAAATCTTCACCAGCATAAAAGCTTACTTTTCAAAAGAAGATTTGCAAATTTTCCCCTATGTCAGACTCACCACCAGTAAGTGAAACTGGGGATGAACAGGTAGGACGGCCTTACGTAAACATATCACCAGAATGGTTCACAATTAAAAGGACCACTTATTTTGATGATCCACCCAGAAAAAGAACATCCTCTCCTATACCTTTAGCTGTACTCAGTGTTCAGATAGGAAAGGTATCAGACAACCTCTGGTTTCATGTCGGTCCAGTTAGACAAAACTCCAAAGCTTAAGCTGCTGGTCTGTCCAGGAACTACATCCACCACTGAGATAGCGACTGCTCGAGCACACAGGGTGTAGGAGCCCTCGTAGCCCACCATCATGTCTCCAACCTCCTCTGTGATGTTGAGAATACTGCGAATTAAGGCACACATGATGTTTACACACATTTGATGATAGCTCAGGTTTTAATTGGATCCTTAAATCTTCTTCATGTCCGTACGTGTTTGTAAAAGGTGTCAGGTTGCTGTTTGTTTCCAGTATGTCTGAGATGACGTTGATCAGAGCTTGGCCAAGTTGCGGCGTGACCACGCTGACCCTGATGATGACCTTCAGCTTGTTGAGGACTGTGACCAGCTCTTCGTACATGAGACTCGACTGGTTTCTCAGTAGATCCTCAATCATCTCCAACACATTGAGGGCGTTCTCTGATGATGAACGACAGCAGGAAGGAACGTGACAATCAGTGAATACAAGCCTCTGAAGAGCATGCAGGGTGTAGCAAAGCTTCAAAACGGATTACTCCAATGTGAAAAAGCGACTGCACCAAATTAACTTTGAACTTTTTGTTTTTACTCAAATAATTATTCACTGGTACTTAGACTTTGGTTGATGATTTAAATTAAAAAGTAAAAGTAAAACAGATGGTGTGAAAACTTTTTCCAGGTGTTACACAGACATTTGGTTTTGTAGTGTTTGTCTCTCTGGAAACATTAGCAGGAGGATACATTTTAAAGCAGTTTTTTTTATCTTTTTTTTTTCCAATTTAAAGTTAATCAGCAGATAACCTTTTGATGCATTTTGTCTCTCTGCTTCTTTTTCTATGTCTGCTACTGCCTCCTTGAACCCCAGTCAGCCTCAGCAGTCGGCCGCTCACACTGAGCCTGGTTCTG